TTACTCGTAATTAAATTGACTTCACATAGTTTTATTTAAATTAACAAATTATTTATAATTGTAGACAAATAAAAACAGAAATGCTATTATTTATCGTTTCTACACAAGAAAAACCCATTTTAATGTATGTAATCTTAATAACTAAAAAATATACTGACAATTAATTTGACAGAATTGTCACTTATTTAAAATTTTAAAAATAATAGCAGTCGGTTGATCAAAATATAAACGGTGATTGATGAATTTAATTTTTTTGCAGTGTTGTCACTATCCATAATATATATATTAAATATATTCGTTTAGTTGAAGGCAATACCACACTTTTTCGTTTTGTAATCTGTGCTTAGATAAGCTAATATCCATGTGGGTGTAGAAAAAATATAAATCCTTGACCCTATGGACCCACTATTCAGTGTTATCAACATTCATCAAGGAATAAATATAGAAAATTATACCAAACTAAAATATTAGTACCTTTTGTGAATATGCTCGTTGAATAATATATATCACTATTGCCTGTCGATATAAATATGAAGGTGGAGTTGGCATATTGGCCAAAACTGGTATAAATGTTAGATATTAATGTTCCAGTATTGCATCGAAAAATGTTTCGAAATCAAGCTGAGCATTGTTGGTAGAATTTTTTTTTATTTTACGTGCCAGATTGTTTGAAAAATGTACCAGATTTTTTTAAAATTAATAGTGATTAATTGAAGAGCAAAAACAAGCTTTTCCGTTTTATAAAGAAGCTTGTTTATGTGATACAGAAAAATAAGATACCTGTAACTAAAAGTACAACGATGTTATTCATAAGAAAGTCGAATTCTTCATCTTTATAAAAATATAACACATTGTTGTCATTAAAGGTACGTTTACATCTGACATTATTGCATGAGATTTATGTCTGGCAGTTGTGCAGTCAGTCCAGTGTAAACACACAAAAAATTCTGTCAGATATATATGTATGAGTGTTTACACTGGACTAAACAACTGTCAGACATAAATCTCATGCTATAAATGTTAGATGTAAACGTACCATAATATTTTGATATAATATTTTACCTTGGTCTGAACTGATTATCAATTTGATACGGCTGGTAGTGGTACTGCATAGGAATATCCAATCTCTGGTTTTGTATATTAACGAGCACTTCTTCTGAAGGTATAGGCGATAGCTGGCTATAAAGTTGACTCGTCGGACCAAGTCCTGGTTCGAAAAACCGGACTTACCTGGTACCCGGGAAAGACGTATGGTCCTGCGGTTTCCATAAGTTGCGCGTTAGAATATACCGCAGGAGATATTTTTGTATTATGGGCCGCTCTTTTAGCTCTTTGCTGTTTAGAGTTCAATTTGATGGTTTCCAATGAACCAGTTCGTCTTCTTGCTGAAAAAATATACAAATAAAGGAATATTCGATACAATAAAAATAGGTTTAAAAAAGTAACTTTTCCACCAATCGTTAGGGGACCATCAAACAAGTTTAAAACCATGTTTTTCGAATATAATTTTTTATTTAAATTGATTTTTCACGAAAATGATCGTTGTAGTAGAAAAAATGTCATACAAAAGTTTTAATGAACAATATTTTTTATTAGTTTACTATGCTACGATAATAGATGTATAAAGTAGATATTTGAATTTTTTTCGACAATCTCCATATTTAGTAATTAAATCGCTTATTGTTAAAAGGAACTAAGTCACATTTTTATGTTTTTGACTGTAAAACATAAAACAAAACTTTGAAGATATTCCTTTCGTTTAGTGTAAGAAGAAACCGTCTAACTATATTGCTTCCCAGCTAGCACATAACGTTGCCAAGCCTTTCGGCGATGTTGCATTAAGGGAACGTAATAACATTACTGTACAACGTAAATGCAACGTTCATGAGAAGTTGTTGAGGGAAATCAAAACCTCGCAAAACTTCTATTTGTTATTTACCTAGTTAACCTACCGTAAACATTACAAATCTGAATTCAGAACGTTTAGTTTTATGTCAATTGTCACTTGTCAGTTTTTCTTGTCAATTGTCTTTTTTAATGGTTTATTTTTCGACATCCAGAATTTATTTTATAAATAATTATTATTTATACATTCGAATAGATTCGGTAAGGGTCCTCTATAAAATAGATAACTATTTTCTAAACCATTGTCTTTGTTTCAGATTACAATGCCTGATGTACATTTATTATTTCATTCATTAAGTATCTTTAGCAGTCGATGCCGATGACACCAAATAAAAAAAAAACTACAATAAAAACAAAGAATTGCAGATCAATCGTTGTAAACCAGAAGATAAACATTTAACCGAATGTCCGGCAACATTTTACACCAAATACTTATAAAAGGTAATTATACTTTATCGAACTAAAAATACATTGTAAAAATATTATTTTTTAGGTTTCCTTCGACATTCTAGGAATTTTAGAAGCAAAAGTAAATACTACAGAAGTGTAAAGAAGAATATAACACCTGAAGTTTTATAAAAAGTGAATCTATAGGTACATGATATGTCAGGTATATCAGAATTCAAGCAGTTCATTCTCTTCAACAGGCTAGATTGCCTGGAAATGCAACCATCAGTTTAAGTGAAAACCCAGCAGAAAAGTTGAGAGAAATCATAGATGATACTCTCGAGTATAATAGAATATCTTGCTAAAAAACACCAGTTGTTTTTTATAAAATCTACATATCGATGGCTCAATCAAATATTGCCACAACTAAAATACTATTATTTTGAGAAATTTCACTTTGAAATTTTGTAAGTCTCTATTATCATTATTTTGTTTTTGACATACTCTTTATATTTTATTTAAAAGCTTCGATATTTTGCTGTTAAATAAAATGATTACGATTATAAAAGTGAGTTGTTGCATAGTTGTAAAAAATTTGGGTGTTTTTGAAGAAAATAACTCAAATTGAGGCAGTTTTAGACACAGTTTGTGGCTACATTTTAAATGATTTATCTTTAAGGATATTTTTGTTTGTGGTGGCATTTAAAGTAGAACTGTAATGATATTTTGCATCCATTGAACCAAAAATGTAATTGCTTTGTTTTTTGACTTGTGGCGGTTTTTGATTGAGCCATTGATATATCTACTTTGGAAATCAAGCATAAAATTTGTAAAATTCAAACAAATTTCAATACACTAACATTGGTTGTTTTATTTAAAACAACAAAGTAAGGCATATTTTTTTAATTTCTATATAATTTCCTTTAATTAATAATAGGTAAACAAGTTATCAATTTCTTTTTTAGTCAATGTATTGAGAAGTAAAATCTTTTTATATAAAAATATAATTTATGCTCTTCTAATAAATTGTCATATTTAGGTTACATTATAGCACTTTATAAATATCTATGCAAAAAAGTTAAAAGGCTTGATTTAAAAAAGATATATCTCTGCGGTAAGAAATCAGCTATCCTCTAGTAATCTAATATAATATGAACCTAGTCATTGTTGTATTCGTTTATTATTTTTCACCAATCTAGCTTTATCATCGTTCACCATTTAAGGTTTTAGTGAACCTTTGCAATATTGGTACCATATTATACTATTTAGCTAATTTTGTCCAATCGTTCAGTGCTTTCTAGGTAGCTTCTTCTATCCCACATGTGTACTTGTGTTTGTGATATAAGGTGTGTTCTTTTATTCAATAATTGTTCCATCAGTGATTAATGTAATTTATCTATTCTGCAGTCGTTTTATATTTGAACTCTTATATTTTAGGTTAACTTAAATGATTGATTATCCTCACCATTCGTCTATCACATATCCATCGGCTTTTAAAGCCGATGGATGCCTTGGCTCATTGGTGAACTCACCGCTGGAAAAAAGAATGATTGACACATACAATCGTCTTTCCATCACTTAATTTACGAACGGTTTGCTGCAAGCGCTGGATACAGCACTGAACAAAAGAACACGCCTACACCTACCTCTACTTTTGTGCTATTGGTACTTGATTTCAAAAACATTTTAATAATAAATTTATATAAATATTTTGTTTTATTTGAAATTTTCATGTCTCGATTGAGATTTTACTATAGCCTCAATGTCAGCCTCTCTGTATTACATTACACAATGTGTGTCCACGGATGGACTTAATTATACTTGTAAAAATATTTATTTTAAATTAAAGAAAAAGTTATTTTTCATAATTTCTCAATGTGAATCGAATTTATTTAACAAGCAAGAAATTATGAAGAATTACTTTTTTAATTTAAAATAAATATTTTCACAAGTATAGTTAAGCCCATCCGTGGACACACTGTATAATGCTGTAGATCTAATTCACATTATAACATCAATAGAACGTTTCATAGCAACTTTCGGGGTAAGTACCGTAAAAGTGCTAGTGTGATGTTTTTCGAACTTCACTTTGTAACTTCTGTGAGATGTGCTATAAAAGTCTTGCCGTTGCGGACATTCGGTAGTTGCAGGGAGATAAGGGTTACATTTACAGTACATTGCATGCGAGCTTAAAGAGCCTAAAATTGCAGCTTATTAACGTAGATGGGATGTTTTTGTGCTAGCTGGGTTGTGTACTATTTTAGCAGCAGTTATCGGTACCTTCTTACACAAAACGAAAGGAATATGACATATGACTATATAAAAAAAATTTCTTATTTTTGGCTGGTACATACGCCCTTAAAATCTTTACACTCAATTTTAAATCACCCTGTATATCTTTCATTCTAATATATTTTTTGTAATTATTCCGATTATTCGCATAACTAACCTGGTTTTATTGGTTTTACATCTAAATTCACTATCCAAAACGAGCTTTTACCAGCACTGGGGTTCGGTACCTTTACGAATTTGCAATGCAGGGACAAATTGTGTCTAACTGAGTTCTTCCAGCTGGCCATTCCTTTGGACTTGTTACTCAGAACTGGCACGTTCACCATCATCCACTCATATATTTGGGACAACGTCATTTTTTTGTCCGCAGTGGAGATAATCGCTTTTATAATGAGATCTGAGTAGCTTTGCTGACCGTAAATAAAACCGTTAAAATCTATTTTATACAAAATCTATTGTTTCCCCCATTCTAAGTTCTTGATTAATAACTTCATCCACGTTACATTCCAGTGGACTCTTCAGTAAGTCCACCTGGATGTTATCGACGTCAGCAACTAAGTCTAAAGTTTCTGGTCTGACTCCTGCATGGATAATATTCATGGCATATTGGTATCCAGTGTCATTATCATGATAAAAATTTGGATTTTCTTCCGCATTACGGTCGTCAATTTGAGCATTTTCCAATGTTACGTTACATTGGAAATTGTTAGATAATAAATCTAAATTTCTTTCGTCTCTAACATATGGACTGCTGTGAATTCGTTGAGACATTGCTGACGGTTTAGTCCAGTATCTTCTCATTGTTTCAGGATAATCTGGGGAGATTTGTCCACTACTGGAGTACAATCTGCAAAATAATAATGAAATTTAATAAAATTTAATGAAATTTAATAAAATTTAATAAAATTTAATGAAATTTATTAAAATTTATTAAAATTTATTAAAATTTATTAAAATTTATTGAAATTTAATGAAATTTAATAAAATTTAATAAAATTTAATAAAATTTAATAAAATTTAATGAAATTTAATGAAATTTAATGAAATTTAATAAAATTAATAAAATTAATAAAATTTAATAAAATTTAATGAAATTTAATGAAATTTAATAAAATTTAATGAAATTTAATAAAATTTAATGAAATTTAATGAAATTTAATGAAATTTAATGAAATTTAATGAAATTTAATGAAATTTAATGAAATTTAATGAAATTTAATGAAATTTAATGAAATTTAATGAAATTTCATTAAATTTAATGAAATTTAATGAAATTTAATGAAATTTAATGAAATTTAATGAAATTTAATGAAATTTAATGAAATTTAATGAAATTTAATGAAATTTAATGAAATTTAATGAAATTTAATGAAATTTAATGAAATTTAATGAAATTTAATGAAATTTAATGAAATTTAATGAAATTTTATTAAATTTCTTTAAATTTAATAAAATTTAATAAAATTTATTGAAATTTAATAAAATTTAATGAAATTTAATGAAATATAATGAAATATAATGAAATATAATGAAATATAATGAAATATAATGAAATATAATGAAATATAATGAAATATAATGAAATATAATGAAATATAATGAAATATAATGAAATATAATGAAATATAATGAAATATAATGAAATATAATGAAATATAATGAAATATAATGAAATATAATGAAATATAATGAAATATAATGAAATATAATGAAATATAATGAAATATAATGAAATATAATGAAATATAATGAAATATAATGAAATATAATGAAATATAATGAAATATAATGAAATATAATGAAATATAATGAAATATAATGAAATATAATGAAATATAATGAAATATAATGAAATATAATGAAATATAATGAAATATAATGAAATATAATGAAATATAATGAAATATAATGAAATATAATGAAATATAATGAAATATAATGAAATATAATGAAATATAATGAAATATAATGAAATATAATGAAATATAATGAAATATAATGAAATATAATGAAATATAATGAAATATAATGAAATATAATGAAATATAATGAAATATAATGAAATATAATGAAGTATAATGAAATATAATGATATATAATGAAATATAATGAAATATAATGAAATATAATGAAATATAATGAAATATAATGAAATATAATGAAATATAATATAATAATTTATTACTTTCAATAATTTTTAAAATAAAATAAACGAAGAAAAAATTCATTTAATTTTTCCCTATCCGAGAATCGAACTCGAGTCTTTCGTGTGGAAGGCAAGAACGCTAACCACAGGATCATGTATTTTTTATTTTTGTTGCTTTATTACTTGTAATTAAATTGACTTCATATAGTTTTATTTAAATTTACAAATTGTAGACAAAATAAAAACAGAAATGCTATTATTTATCGTTTCTACACAAGAAAAACCCATTTTAATGTATGTTATCTCAATAACTAAAAAAGATACTGACAATTAGTTTGACAGAATTGTCACTTATTTAAAATTTTAAAAATAATAGCAGTCGGTTGATCAAAATATGAACGGTGATTAGTGGATTTAATGTTTTTGCAGTGTTCTCACTATCCATAATGGATATTAAATATATTCGTTTAGTTGAAGGCAATACCACACTTTTTTGTTTTGTAATCTGTGCTTAGATAAGCTATATCCATGTGGGTGTAGAAAAAATAAAAATCCTCGACACTATAAACCCACTATTCAGTGTTATCAACATTCATCAAGGAATAAATATAGAAAATTATACAAAAATAAAAATATTAGTACCTTTTGTGAATATGCTCGTTGAATAATATATATCAGTATTGCCGATCAATATAAATATGAAGGTGGAGTTGGCATATTGGCCAAAACTGGTATAAATGTTAGATATTAATGTGACAGTATTGTATCGAAAAATGTTTCGAAATCAAGCTAAGCATTGTTGGTAGAATTTTTTTTTAGTTTATGTGCCAGATTTTGAAAAATGTTTCAAATTTTTTTTAAATTAATAGTGATTAATTGAAGAGCAAAAACAAGCTTCTCTGTTTTATAAAGAAGCTTGTTTATGTGATACAGAAAATAAGATACCTGTAACTAAAAGTACAACGATGTTATTCATAAGAAAGTCGAATTATTCATCTTTATAAAAATATAACACATTGTTGTCATTAAAGGTACGTTTACATCTGACATTTATTGCATTAGATTTATGTCTGGCAGTTGTTTAGTCAGTCCAGTGTAAACAAACAAAAAATTCTGTCAGAGATATATGTATGAGTGTTCACCCTGGACTAAACAACTGTTAGACATAAATCTCATGCAATAAATGTTAGATGTAAACGTACCATGTAACACGACCCCTAACGCCGCCTCTGTACTCTCGTAGCAGCTCCCGTCAGTGCGACGCCTAACGAATGACAGTGAGAGTGAAGTTTGCCGCGAGCAATACAGATCGATTTGACTCTTTTTCAATTTACTTTATTTTATTTGTTACAATTACTAATTATCCAAATATAATCAGCTTAATACAGTGCTTTATTTAATTATATGTAACATCCAATATCCACGTTACAACCATAATATTTTGATATATTTTGATATAATATTTTACCTTGGTCTGAATTGGTTATCAATTTGATACGGCTGGTAGTGGTACTGCATAGGAATATCCAATCTCTGGTTTGGTATATTAACGAGCACTTCTTCTGAAGGTATAGGCGATGGCTGGCTATAAGTTGACTCGTCGGACCAAGTCCTGGTTCGAAAAACCGGACTTACCTGGTACCCGGGAAGGACGTACGGTTCTGCGGTTTCCATAAGTTGCGCGTTAGAATATACCGCAGGAGATATTTTGGTATTATGGGCCGCTCTTTTAGCTCTTTGCTGTTTAGAGTTGAATTTGTTGGTTTCCAATGAACCAGTTCGTCTTCTTGCTGCAAAAATATACAAATAAAGAAATATTGGATACAATAAAAATAGGTTTAAAAAAATAACTTTTCCATGAATCGTTAGGAGACCATCAAACAAGTTTAAAACCAAATTTTTGGAATATAATTTTTTATTTAAATTGATTTTTCACGAAAATGATTGTTGTAGTAGAAAAAATGTCTACTATGCTACGATAATAGATGTATAAAGTAGATATTTGAATTTTTGGCGACAATCTCCATATTAAGTTATTAAATCGCTTATTGTTAAAAGGAATTAAGTCACATTTTTATGTTTTTGACTGTAAAACATAAAACGAAACTTTGAAGATATTCCTTTCGTTTGGTGTAAGAAGAAACCGTCTAACTATATTGCTTGTGTACTATTTTAGCGGTAGTTATCGGTACCTTCTTACACAAAACGAAAGGAATATGACATATGACTATATAAAAACAATATCTTATTTTTTGCTGGTACATACGCCCTTGAAATCTTTGCACTCAATTTTGAATCACCCTGTATATCTTACATTCTAATATATTTTTGTAATTATTCCTATTATTCGCATAACTAACCTGGTTTTATTGGTTTTACATCTAAATTCACTGTCCAAAACGAGCTTTTACCAGCACTGGGGTTAGGTACCTTTACGAATTTGCAATGCAGGGACAAATTGTGTCTCACTGAGTTCTTCCAGCTGGCCATTCCTTCGGGCTTGTTACTCAGAACTGGCACGTTCACCATCATCCACTCATATATTTGAGACAACGTCATTTTTTTGTCCGGAGTGGAGTTAATCGCTTTTATGATGAGATCTGAGTAGCTTTGCTGACCGTAAATATTTCGACGACCTGTTAAAAAAAAACAATGTTTCAAAAAATATACATGTCACAAAGATGAATAATTTTATGTTGGTGTGTATATACTGTATTACATGAAACAACAACAAAAATAACTAACAATAATTTGGCATTACCGGACGTATCAAAAGCATCCGATTTATTAAATTAAGATTATTTTTGTAAACATTTTGATTGAAGTACAAGACAATAGCAGAACAATAATAACAATGGGAAAACAACAACACAAAAATAAAAACATTTAATGAAAAAGAGGACATTGTCGACAATAAATGTTCAAAGTGATTTCCATTTCCAATACATTTGACAACTCGTTTGTTAAACGACCTTAAGAACACCTGTACGTCATAACAATTACTTGACATATTATCTTTAACTATCTATAAATAATAAATAGTAAGTTGTTAGGTATAAAACAATATTTCCTGTATAGTCTAATCAACAAGTTCAACAGCTTGTTTTTGGGACATACTATTACGAAAATTATATTCAATAGCTCATTCGATTCGGAATAATGTCTAGATCAATGTATTAAGAAAAATTTTACAGTGCATAAAAAATTGCAAAAGTTATAAACAATTAAACACCTCAAAAACATGGTGTTTGGTTTTTCGCCTATAGTTTGTAAACTATAAATTTTTCAAAAAAGATCTTTAAAGAGGAAGAAATTTGCTATAAATAAGTTCCGACTCCCTTAACTGTACCTCCATTATTTATAATTTTAATTTAACGCTCAAAGTAGCCTTCCGCGCGCCATTTTTAGGTTGCGCGCACGGCGTCGAAACCGAGTACGTTACATAAAATAATTTTTTTAAGTTAATAAAATTAAATTCAAAAATTTTAAAAAATTACGGTGTGTTCTAAACACTTAGAAGAATTCATTCCCGTTGGAATTTTTCATAAAAATGAATTTTCCAACAAAGTAGGTTATTGTAAATTAACAAAACTTTTAGAATTTCTCTCATCACACAGGTCGTTAGAGAATGTTTTTAATCTATGGAATGTGAAGAATGTTGGGAATACTGACGTTAGAAATAATTGAAATTCCTAAAATTGTTCACATAAGGAATGCATAGGCGGATTTTAAGAATATTGTTATTAAAGTAGTTAGGATGAACCGAAATTTCTGAAAATCAATATGGCTTTAAGTTAGAAGTAATTATTCAAGAAAATCAAAACCGCGAGTCAATCAGAACATTCGTTCTAGAGTTATCGTGCCGGCATACATACATACAGACGACCAGACACGATTGGATTTTCGGATTCAGAATGATCAGAAACATGAAAAAAAGTTAAGAAAATTTTTTCGTCTGCACGAATGCAATACTGAGGCCCCATAGGAAGGGCCTCAGTAATAAATATGATACCATAGAATCCTGTATGGCTAGTGCTTTTTTTCACATTTTTTTATATAGGATATTTTCAATATTTAATTTTAAATTAAACGTACATTAAATATCTTAAATTAAATATTTTAAATTTAATATCTTAGATAAATTAAATATTTTAAATCAAATAAACCAAATTAAATATTCTATAAATATTTTAAATTAAACCCTTTAAAATAAATACTTCAAATTAAAAACTAACATATTTGAAATTAAGCACCCAAATTATTTAATGTATTTTTTGTAAAACCATAAAACTGTTTACATGGACGTAAAGATAGTGATAATATCTTTCAAACTAGGTATCACATGACCTTACATTTCATTATAAAATTTAAAGATAGTAACGTACTCTATCTTACGTCTCATGTAAAGTGCTCGTTATAACAAAAATATCATAAGATCTTCTTCCATTTAAAAAATAATTCTTTTAATAATTAATGATTATATATAGGATGTCCCGTTAGCGGGTAATTGTTTAATATTTTAATTTGTGTTACTGACACGCAAACAAATTTTACATAAAAGTTATATGGATTTTAAAAATATTTTTGCATTTTCGCCTGGCAAATAAAAATGTATTTTTTTTTTAAATAGAACACCCTGTAGTTTCCTGGATTTTTAGAATGATTTGGTAATACTATATTCAACCCTAGAATGTTTTTAAAAATTATTACAGTGTTGCCAAGCAATTAATTTTTTTGATGCAGACCCCAAATTAAGTTATCATAATTTAGGTAGGTTTACATTGATTTAAAAATTGTTTATTATACAGACTTATAAGATACAAAGCTAACGAATAGTAATGATAAAACTGGTTTATTTTATACCGAGTGTTTTGAAACATGTCTTAAAAATATGGCTGATTTTAAGTTTAATTTACTCAATTTGTACAAACGCAACACCCTGTACATTATCTTAGCATAAAATTTCTTATAAATTCCTTATAAATTAGTCAATAACATAGGCTGTCCTATCGACAGCTGTCTTATTATTAGTAATACGAATACATTTTTAATAACCATTATTCTTAAATATACAAGGTGATCCATAAACGAGGTGCTGACCAAATCCATACTTTTTTAAAGTAAAACACAGTCAAATAGTTTTAATTGACTTCATTCATTTGCTATGTTGTATATAGGGTGTGTCAAAACGTTGTATTAATTAATTGATTGTATAACATATCGGGCATTCCGTTTAAAAATGCGGGGTATTTTGACACACCCTATATACAACAGCAAATAAATGGAGTCTATTAAAATTATTTGACGATGATAAAACAATCAAATATGTATAACTACTTACAGGATGTGTTGATTTAAAAATGTATACGTTTGGTATGTTCTTCGTTTATGGAAAGAATATTTATTAAATACAACTTTTATTATTGAAAATAAGAAAAAAAAATATCTATCATCGATAATTTATGCACTGATGGGACACTCTGTATATGTGTTATTGGCTAATATATTGGTATCTTGAATAGGTAAATTTATAAAGAATTTTATGCTAAAATTATATACAGGGTGTTGCATTTAAAAAAATTGAGTAAATTGAACTTAAAATTAGCCTTATTTAAGACATGTTTCAAAGCAGTCCATATAAAATAAATCAGTTCTAGCGACACTATTCGTTAGCTTAGTTTCTTATAAGTCTGTATTTTAAACAATTTTGAAATCATTGTAAATCTACCTAAATTATGATAATTTAATTTGGGGTCAGCATCATTATCTAACTTCAAAAAAAATAATTGCTTAGCAACACTGTAATATTTTTTAAAAACATTCTAAGGTTGAATACAGTATTATCAAACTATTCTAAAAATAAAATACAGGTGTTCTTTTTAAGAACATACATTTTTATTTACCAGATAAAAATGCAATACCCTGTATAGCCAAAAATATTATTAAAATATGTATTTTTTAAATTCATGTAACTTTTATTTGAAACTTGTTTGGGTGTCTATAACACAAATTGAAATATTGAACACTAATGGGGCATTTCATTATAAAAACCTGTCAATTTCAATTTCCAGATATCTTAAAACTATTTGTTTCTTGTATTTTTAATATATTATGATTTTAAGTTAACGTTAGCTTTTTCAGAATGTTTGTTGTTACATGTAAAGGGTATATAATTTGTTTTTTTCGAAATTAATTGTTGAACACAACTACATTTTTCAAGATATATCCGAATATTTTATAACGGCATTATGAACAAAAGCATTTTTTTGTCATAGTTTTTTTTACTAAAGACCATATTAATATGTATGGAGAATATAATGCGTCCTAGTACTGTTCCTTGTAGTACACAATATGTTACAATACATAAATCGCTTAGTTTATTTTCAATTTTGACATACTATTAGCTAGATTTTAATATATTTAAAGTTACTCCTCTGAAACCAAAGTCCTCTAGTACATAGATAAAAATACAATGATGTTGGAACAAGTTATTCAGCGTTTAGTTAATATGTGAACTTGCTTTTAGTTCCATCACAATAGGATTTGATAAAATTTTTCTAAAGCCTATTGAAGCTATTTGTAAATAATAATTAAAATAAACATACCCAACAATCCATGTCTTTTCGATCTATCCTCCTCTGTGACAGGCTGTAATCCCGGTTCCAACTTAACTTTCCCGTGCCAGGTACTAGATCTATTTCTAAAAGCGGCATTATCTTGAATACCATTGCTTTCCATTGTGAAAAATCTGTAATTGTATCAAATAACGTTTAATCAAGTTTTTTAAAGGAAATAACTGTAATATTTACCTTGTTTTAATTTTGACTGGTTCTTTTTTCTGCTTCAATTCAGGACAATGTCTTTTAATTTTTATTCGAAAACTATATTTATCACTTATAAAGAACACACAAACGAAACACTAACTAGGAATATAATATCAGGAGGCTGTTGTTCCTACAGAACAGAAAATTGTACTGAAGAGAAAATTAAATTTTGATAAGTAAGTACCTGTGTGGAATCCCTCTTCTAATGTTATCTCCTAGGTTCACACCTATTTCCTGGAGTTCACAAGTCCAATCATGAAAAGTTTATCTTAGAACAATCATTAGAGGATTAGACGCGATTCGTTCGGTCTTGAATCCTAGACGACCGGCGTCCTTTTGTTTAATTTTGGAAATTTGTCTCATAAAGGATTATAAGGAAGGCATTTTGAATACTTGAGGCTCTTAATGAGGTGGCAGGTAGACTTTCAGGACCCATTGGGATTTCCTAATAATACTAATAAAACTGCTGAATTATTGCAAGAGGTTTAAATTTTGTATGGTTTTACTTTTAAAATTCGAAAGAAGAAATATACAGGGTGTTTAAATTAAAGTATTACAGTTAAATACCGCCGAAAATATGCATTTTATAAAAAAAAGTTTCAGACAAAAGTTTTATAGTTTTTGGGGGAATAATTTTGGCTAAATCCATTTTTTTATAGCTGACTATAATATGGCCGTATCGAGGTGGACTTTTTCATTTCAAATTGGAACCCCGTTTTTTTAAATATTCTTAAAGTTCATAAAAAAATAAGAAACTTTTAAAGGAAACATTTTTTTTTATTGGACTTTTATCTATTGTGTAACACCTACTTGAAAATTTTGCAAGGCCAAAAAAAAATTGGCTATATTATGAAACGTTTTATAAAAGGTAGTATTTAATTGTAACACTTTAATTTGAACACCCGGTATAATATCAGTAAAAGTATCTATTTCGTTAGAAAGATCGATAATATTTAAGTGTATATAAATTTATGACAGGGATGAGAAGGGATGTTTTTAAAAAAATTTAAATGTTTATACTGCCGTATTTAAATTAGTTCGAACCTCAAATATCGTGTAATACAGGGTGTCATGAAATTGGACGGTCATGTTTTAACAGCGTAATCTACATCCCAAAATAGGAGTAACAGTTTATTGTATATATATTATATTCTTGTATTTTGAGTTTGAGACGTGTATGTAAATATGTAAATACTTCAATAAATGTTTGTAGTAGTAGTAGTAGTAAAAGTTTATATAAACATAGGCCTGAAAACGTTTTGTTTCCGAGATACAGGGTGTTAAAAGTGAAGTCCTGATGACACATTTTTGTAAATATTTTCTTAACTTTTAAAGATAAATAAATAAAATTTGGTACAAATGCTAAACTTTTTACGCTCTATTTAATGGACTAAACGCCAGTTGTTGATCATCTTCATAGGTGAGTAAATTAGGGAAGGGGCTTAGGGTTAAATTGTCCTAAGTTTTTTTGTTGACTGTTTTTAACATTTTTGACAACACAATTTGGAAAACCAATATTTTCTATATAATAAAGCTACTTTTATTGTACCTCACTAGGACCATTTTCAAGAGAAAAGCATTTGAAAATTTCAAGATAAGTTGTTGTTATCTTATTCGAAAGTGTAAACAATAATTGGTAGGCTCGTGGAATCAGAAATTTTATTTTTTTTTCTAATTTTGGAAAACCGGTGACTAAAAAAATTTTAAAAATATTTACAAAAATGTGCCATCAGGACTTCCTATATCTCGAAAACGAAACGTTTTTGGACCTATGTTTATATGAGCTTTTACTTCTATTTTAGGATGTAGATTACGTTGTATGACCATCTAATTTCGGGACACCCTGTATACCATTTTGTAGATCAAATTCATTCCTAGTCACTATTTTGTTAAACTAACTTCTAGAATAACGTAGATATATGTAAAGAAAATGTTGATGAAAACGGTAAAAATTCTTTTTTTTCATGGCATCTTATACTTTCCAAAAGTGTGTTGCTTTATGTCCAGCGAAAACTGTCTCATAATCGCGTTAAATCTCTTAATTTTTTGCAATCTTATAGAACTATTCACATAGATTGCGAAAATGTATACAGGGTGTCCCGAAATTAGACGGTCATATTTTAACAGCGCAATCTACATTCTACAGCGTAATCTACATCCTAAAATAGGAGTAAAAGTTCATATAAACATAGATCCGAAAACGTTTCGGCATATTTTTGTAAATATTTTTTAAAATTTCTTTAGTCACCGGTTTTCCAAAGCTAAAAAAAAAATAAATTTCTGATTCCACAGGCCTACTAATTATTGTTTACACTTTCGAGTAAGACAGCATCTACTTATCATGAAATTTTCAAATATTTTTCTCTTGAAAATGGTGATTCCTGGCGAGATATAACAGAAGTAGCTTTATTATAAAGAAACTATTGGATTTACAAATTTTGTAGACAAAAATTTTAAAATCAGTCAACAAAAAAACTTAGGACACTTTAACCCTAAGCCCCTCCCTAATTTACCCACCTTTGAAGATGATCAAAAACTGGCGTTTAGTCCATTAAATATAGCGTAAAAAGTTTAGCATTTGTACCAAATTTCACTTAGTTATCTTTAAAAGTTTAGAAAATATTTACAAAATGTGTCATCAGGACTTCACTTGTAACACCCTGTATCTCGAAAACGAAACGATTTCGGACCTACGTTTATATGAACTTTTACTCCTACATTAGGATGTAGATTACGCTGTTAAAAATATGACCGTCTAATTTCGGGACATCCTGTATATAGGGTGTTTCGTGAGGAAAGGGAAATATTTTGAAATCATTTCCCATTAGTGCGTAATTGCTAGTTAAATCAATTTGTGTTACAGACACACAAACGAGTTTCAACTAAGAATTATATTTTATAAAGGCATATTTTAAAAATAATTTTGGATATACAGGATGTTACGGTTTTGCCCGCCCAGCAAACATTTTGGTTTAATTTGACGTCGAGACTACCTAAAATATGTATAATAAATTTGGTCGCAAAATTAGATTTAACCATATTTAAGGAAAATTTACGTTATCTTGACGTGGAGTCGACATAAGTGAAGAATAAGACGACGTCGAAATTTGGTTTTATTGATCAAAATAGGTAAAATTACGCCTAAATCCACATTGTAGTAGCCTTCTACGTTTTGTTAGTAATACTTCTTTAGGGAAATTTAACGTCAATATAACGTCAATTCGACGTTGATTTAACCAGCTTTAGGTAGAAACTACAAAGATTTTCAGATGACGAATGACTTCAAGTGCACAAAAAGATAAATTTTATACTTATTTGGTATTTTTATCTATAGAAGTCGAAATATTGTAGGAAGTGACCAACACAACTAAAACATATACTTAACTCACAGCAAAGATTGAAAATAAATAAATGTCGGTAACCAAAATATATATATTATTTAATTACGACGAATCAATAGGTTAAGTTTGTTAAAATTAATGCAAAGGAAATTTTGTCGTGAATGTTAACAGTTCTACTTTAAAAAATAACAATGCCCTTCCAAAATACTCTTTAATAAGAAAAAATATAAGAAGAAATATTATGATTTAAAAAAATTATAATAATATTATGATCTAAAACAATGTTACATTTGTTGTGTATCACTTTAGAAAATCAATAATGTTTTTTTTTTGTAATTTTTATCCGTTCTTTTCTAGTTAAGTTAATTTAAAAAAATTTAAATTTGGAATCGTATTTCAATTATGTTAAGAAAATATAGCGTATTGTGCTAATATGACTTAAAAGTTATTATGACTATGAAAAACTAAGTATTTTACAAATAGCTTTTGACTAAGTTGAATTACCTTAAAGATAACGACATGTTAGTTAATTTTACCTATTTAAAGAATTAATAACTTGTTAGTTTTATCAAAAATTTACCTGTAGGTAAATGTAACATATTTAGGTCACCCTATTTTTGGTAATTTAGTAAATTTCAGCCATGTTAAGTGTAAATTTTTGTTGACAAATCAATTTACTGGATACTGGGGTAATTTGTTTATTTTTCACGTTATGCTGCACTTGAGATTTAAAACGTTTGACTTTACGAAAAAAATCAAAAGTACCTATTATTTATTATTTTTTGCATTTATTTATAGCCCTATCTACACGGCAAGAGAATTAAGTATACCACTGCAACGGTTTTTTAAAATGGCCGAAATTCTTAAGAATAATGACGAAGACAATAAGTGAACAACCTAATTGTTAAAAAAACCTATGTCATAATTATTAGATACTTCATGTGAAAGTGCATTCTATCTTTAGAAATATATTATTAATTAATATTCTTTGATTTATTTAGTCATCTTATATTTAACTAAATATGTAGCAACGTCACTCAACCTGGCGTACGCCCGACAATCGGTATAGAAGATACCAGCAGTAGTTAAAAAAATAACCTTAGTTGTATGTTGTTATTACTACTAGTAGATGGCGGTATTAAAATTTAAAAGATACCTGCAAGTTTTTTTTTTTTAATTATTTTTAGTCAATGCCAACTAACGGTTATCCTGAATTATTAGCAAGTTGATTAAATAACTGCTAAATAATTGTAAACTAAAGATAAATGTTTATCTAATAAGGGTGATACAATGGTCACAGAATGATCAATAAAATAATGGCAGGTTTTTTATCATCTTAGGAGGATGCACAATGGGCCTAATGAGGCCTAAGTGCTGTGGGGGGTAACCCACCCTCCACACGTTACAGATACAGATGGCAGGTTTTTTAAAAACTTGTTATTGTTAGATATTGAATACTGAATTTTCTGTGTATTTAATCTCAATAACTTAAAAATATACTAACAATTTGTTTGAGAGAATTGCCACTTATTTAAAATTTTCAAAATAATAGTAGTTGGGTGTCCAAAATATG